GGGAAGAGCTAAAGCCATAAATTTTTGAACACATAATGGAACATTATTAATTAGATTCAGATGGATAAGAAAAAAAATTGATTATTGATGGCTACTAAGAAAATCAAGATACTTAAGTAAATGAAGATGATTCAGAAGTACTCTAAATATTAAAATAGGTTGTTTAATTGATTAAAGAAATAATTGATACTCGTATTAGACCTACTGTGTAAGAGGATGGAGGAGATATTGTCTTTAGAGATTTCGATGAGAAGAGTGGAGTTGTTCAATTGTATATGAAAGGTTCATGTGCAGGTTGTCCTTCATCTTCTGTGACTTTGAAAAATGGAATCGAAAAAATGTTGTGTCATTATGTTGCTGAAGTCAAAGAAGTAGTTGCAGAAGATTATAATGGTTCTGATTGAGTAATAAGATGCTTTTAGTTTAAATCAATCAATCATCATCTGATTTGTATTCTTCTTCTTCCTCATTCATTTCATCAATTTGATCATCATTAATTTAATTGCTATATAAGTTTTTCAATTCTAAGGCATCATCCTTTTCGTCAAACAATAATTAAAATCTATTATTTTCCAACAGATTATCATAAAATAATAGATGTTTCTTATTTGGCGGCCATGCTGTTGATTCAGGTGGTGGTACCAAAGTATCTATAGATAATCTCATTATAAATTGATATTCAATTACCTAAAGGCATTTTCTACCATGGCTGGTATTATTCTGCCTAATAATGGTGAGCTTAATTCTAAACAAGGATTTGTATTTATTTCAATTAGATATGGCTTAAATTTTTCATCAATCATAAAATCTAATCCAAAAATTTCAAAGTTATAATTCTTTTTGAATGGTTCGATCTTATGATATACTGATTTAATAGCATTTAATGTTATCACTTTTAATTATGGGTACAGATCTTTATAAAAGTCGAAATGATCATTATTATGCCATTTATCTAGATACCTTTAAAATTCAGCAAAGGATAGTTTGTTTCCATTTTCATATTTTCCATATGCTTCACTATATTTCTGAATGGCATCATTAGTTAAATGAACATACTAATTACTTACATCTTTTATGTCAAACTCTTCACTGGAAGTTCTTAAATATCCCTCTTCATACCAATAGGCTCTGATAACATTATTTAGTTAGGTTATCAGAAAATAACATCGAATATCAAATTTTCTTTTATTATATAGGAAAGGTTTCTCAATATACTTTTGAATCAAATAAGTAAAAGGTTTTCCATTAGGGTGATTCTATCTTTTGCTAACAATTCTATGTATCTCATTTAAGTTTTGGCAGACTATAATCCCGTTGCCTCTATTGGTGAATTCTCCAGGCTTTACTATCCATATACCGTTTCCCTTCCTTATAAATAATTAAATATACTTTTCTTTATAATATTCCAAAAATTACAAGTATGATTTATCTTTAACTCCAGAGACATGGAATGTAATGGGTAGATGTTAAAATAGATCCTATTTTGTTAGCTCGTAAAACTTTTTCATGTTGTGGAACATTGCCTTTTTATTTCCTAAGTGATAATTTCTTTCAATATGATTGTGAATCTAAGCTTATATGAAGAGATATACTTTATGAAAATTGTCAATGATTTTAAACTCCTTTTTTTCAGCATATTTTTAAAAGTCCTAAATAGATTTATCAATGTTCTTAAGTTCACAGATATCCTGATCATTCATCAGTTTTTGTAAGGGATCATCAAATTTACCGAATCTTGTAGATTTTTTTGATGATTTGGGAGATTAAGGTTTTTTCATTCTTCTTAATTCTGTTGATGTTGTAGATAATGATTTTTAACGAGTTAAGACTGATTCCTTACTCCATTCTTATAGATTCATAAATTAAGGTACCTTGATTTAAGTCCAAATAAAATTTAATTCCTTATTATCGGCTTCTTAATTTAATGTCCACCACCATCTTTATTTAAAAGTTTCTTTAATGAGTAAACTGTTGTTTCCTTTGCCAACTTTAAATTTTAATTCAATTAAATTGTTTGATGGAACCACATAAAAATTGCTCTATGCAGAAACCATAAATAAGAAATGATGGTAGCTCAACAATTTTGTTTAAAATAGTTGATCTCGACTCAAATTTGAATAGTCATTCAATGAAAATCGAAAATTTTGATTTATTTTCATGTTTTATTATGAAACATTTTTTATCTTGCTATAAGGAGATTCCCTTCTTTTTTGTACTGAACGAGTTGTGGTTTCTCTTTTTTCTATTGATGATGTTTTTATGGATTCTCTTTCCTTTTCTAAAGAATATGCTTTAGTTCTGATAGCTTATTGTTCTTATAATTTCGATGCTTTGATTTACAGACCCATAATTTAAATGAGATTATCATTATCAAAATCACTTTGTTTACATTAGAACCCTCTTAAAATGGTGTTCAAAAGGGTTTTAGTTTTAGAGGTCTCCTTGAACCTAGTATAAGACTTTTTAAGGTCGATTATGTTTGTTTTCTTTTCTTCAACAAGATCCATATGTACTCCTTATAAGTTATTTTATAAATTTGAAACTTTGTCTATTTTTGAGACAATTGAATCTTCATTCTTTGAATCTGGATATACTATACTTATTGTTGCTTCCTTGTAATGTGATCCCCTTCTCTACTCTTAGATATAACATTTAATATTACATTCATTTTATTGTTTTTTGACCGCTTATAACGCTCTTGGCAAAGAGATGTGTCTTTAATCGTGTTATCTTTTAGAATAGTATTGTTCAACATTAAACCTATTTAATTTGTTTCGTTATAATTAATTATTTTTGTAAGAAGATCTCGAAACAAAAGCACTCATTGGATGTACAAGAGTGGGATTGTAAATAGTCTAGAACTACGGAGTGTGTGGAAAAATGGCTAAATCCTCCCTATTCATTTATTATTCAGAATATTTATATATATATATTTATAAAAATTTTTCCTTTATATTCGTTATAACTTTATTTATGAGCTAAATGCTCAAAAAGGATAAATAACCATTTTGAGATTAGGATTTCAATATGATGAAAGAACTACTGCAATTTTCAGAAGAATTAGATTTTAAAATAGTTGCTTGGATTTAGAGAACAGATATAAGAATAATTATTATCTAATAAAATAAATCTTAAGATCTTTCTAATATTTTTTACATCTTTAAGCAGTCATTGCTATTATTATTTCTAAAATATTAATTATTTTGAAGTATATATCCTATAATTCTAATGAGCGAAACTAATCCATAAAAAAAACAAGACGAAATAGAATTGGGTTTACAAACTAAAGATAGTGATAGAAATAATTAAATACTTACCGTATTCAATGATCAACAGGATGACTAAATGCAAGAAGAATAACCATTAAATCAATAGGAATATTAAGAAGAACCTTCAATGGCTTCAATTCCTGAAGAAGAAGAAGAAATGTTTTATCCTTACTATCATGGCTAGAACAGTTGGTTAATTTCTAAGTTGGCTTTCTTCCATCTCACATCGTACTAACTATTTTTGAAGAAACATGTATTGGATAAAGGACATAAAATTGGCGAAAAGCACTTACCTAAATTGTCTCCTTGGGAAGACCTGCAAGAAACAGTAAAATAATGTTAAACTGCAGTAAAACAACAAAAGGTAGTTACTTGTGGGAATTTGGTAAAAATAATATTTTTTGGATAATTAAAGTGGGTATGTATTGGATGCTTTATTGGATATGTTATAGAAGCTATAGGAAGGAATGTATTATCAATAGTAATGAGTAAAGTCATTACGTGTGCTGCTGAAAATGACAGAGAAAGCGCATATAATTATGCCACCTTATTGGTATTTCTAAATCTAATATGCGTTTTTGCAAGACATCATGGTTACAATCTATCTATGGTGTTTTCATCAAAAGCAAGAATGACTCTCATCAATTTAGTCTACGTAAAATTAACTGACTTGAGTGCCTATTCCATAAAAGAGGCAAACATAGGCAAGATTTTAAATTTGGTTTCTGGCGATATCAATTATCTTGAGTTTGTTTTTATTATGATATTCTAAACCAGTGTGTGCTTTATTTCAATGATTTTTGGAGCCTACATCCTCTGGGATAGATTCAATGGCCCAATTGGAATGATAGCTCTTGCCATCATTTTCGTTGCCTATCCTATTTAAATAGTTCTACAATCTTTTAATTCAGAGACTCTAAAAACTTCTAAACAGTATTAGGATCAAAGATTGAAACTGACCAATGAACTTATTGAAGGGATAAGACTTATTAAAATGTATGCCTGGGAACAAGCCTTCAATAAGATGATCTCTATTATGAGAAGGGAAGAATACTATTGTTTATTGAAAATCAATTTTAGAACAGCCACAGACCGATTATTTAGTTTAATATCTTAAGTTTGGTCTAGTTTTGTGTTTTTTATTATCTTATATTATGGAGGCTATAGAAAGACTATGAGTGTAGCAGAAATGATTTCAACTATTTAATTACTTACATTTTTTAAAATCAGTTGTGTCTTTATGGTTTCCTATGGAATTTAGTCTATCATCCACATAAGGGTGTCATTTACAAGAATAGCTACTGTTTTAAATATTTTAAATTCAGAAATGACAAGTTTAGATCATATTCAATTGAAATCAGATAATAATAATGAAAAATCTTAAAATTTTCATGGTCCAAGGATCCAACTTAAGAATTTTTCTTCCTTTTGGACAGGCAAAGTTACTGAAACCACAAAGCCAACTCTTAAGAATTTAACACTTGATATTTAAGCAGGAGAGGCATGGGCTTTTATTGGAAGAGTTGGTTCTGGAAAGTCTACTCTCCTTAGTGCTTTTTTGTATGAGATTCCTGCTTATAAAGGATCATTCAAAATTGATGGTTAAGAAGCAAACAAAGGAAATTTAATTATAGCATATGTTGAATAGGAACCTTTTATCTTTCCTGACACTATAAGAAGAAATATCTTGTTTGGTAGACCATATGATAAGGTATTATATTAAAAAGTATTACATGCATCATAATTAGAAGCAGATTTAACTCAGATGAAATTTTAGGATCACACAGAAATTGGAGAGAGAGGCACTACTTTGTCTGGAGGTCAAAAAGCTCGTTTATCTTTGGCTAGAGCTCTATATCAATAAGCAGACTTATATTTATTTGATGATCCATTATCAGCTGTAGATGCCAGTGTTGCCAAAAATATATTTCATATGGCTATCAAAGAATTCATATTTTAGTTTCAAGTACAGAGAAACCCGTAAAAGAAAAAACCTATTGTTATTCTGGTTACTCATTAAGTTTAATATGCTGTCGAGTGTGATAAAATTGGCATATTAAATGATGGAGAACTAATTGCTTAAGGTTGCTATGATGATATCAAATAAAGTCTTTATATGATAAATGATGAGTTGGCTTAATAGTTAAACAACACTAAAGAATTGAAAAAATAAGAATTCGTAAGACCATAGTTCCAAAAGAGAGTAAAAGTTAGAAATTCTGTTGCTAATAATCTCATAGGTAAAGAGGCTGATTAATAATAATTGATCACAATTAAAACCTACATTAGATACTATAAATTTTGGAATATCATAGTGATTATACTTGTGTTATGTCTAGAAGCTGGTTCTGAAGTTTGTAATAATTTTTATTAACGAATCATTTCACTTTTTGAAGAGTACTAATAAGATAACGATATAGACAATGGCTATTATCTGTTAGGAATGCTAACTTTAGGACTAATCCTTGCAAATCTGATAAAATACATATTGAATACATATTCAGTTTTATCTTCTACTTAGAGAATACATTAGTATATGCTTAAATCCTTAACATTAGCACCAATTTCATATTTTGATGTTAATCCATCTGGTAGAATAATCAACAGATTTTCAAATGATTTATCATTATGTGACAATCAAACCAATACTGTAAGTTTGGATGTTTTGGAGATTGTTGGTAATTTTTTTTTTGCCTTAGTAACTCTGGCTATATTATAGCCATACTTTTTAATTATGATCCTATTTATTATCATCATTGATTATTATTAGTTTAGCTATTCCAAGAAGATTATTAGTTAACTTAAGGAGGTTGAATTAATGTAAAGAAGCCCTTTATTTGATTTCCTAAAGAAAACCTTAGGAGGAGTAATTCAAGTTAGAGTGTATGAATAATAGGAATGGTTCAGAAAATAGTTCTTAGATCTATCTAATAAATGCAATCTTAATTCACTTACTTATTACTATTCCTCAAGAGCTTTTGGCTTTAATTTGGATCTTGTGGGATTTATTGCTTAAACAGTTGGAATATATATATTCTTAAAATTAGATTTAAATAACGTTGCAGTATTGTCTTAAGGATTACTTCTTTTGATTACTTATAATGATGGTTTACAATGGGGATTAAGGCAATTAATTACCTTTGAAACTCAAATGAACTCATATAATAGAATGTTTTAGATTATTGATATCGTACCAGAGGCCCCTCATTATACAAAAGAAGATGAATAATATCCAGATTTTCCAAAAGATGGAAGAGTGAAATTTGACAATGTGTTTATGAGATACAGATAGAATTGTGATTTAGTTTTGAAAGGATTATCATTTTAGATTTAAAGTGGTGAAAAGATTGGCTGTGTCGGAAGAACAGGAGCAGGAAAGTCCTCTATTTTGTAAGTTATTTTTAGAATGTCTGAAATAGAAAATGATAAAGAATCGACATTATAAATTTCAGACTTAGATATTAGAAAATTAGGATTGCATAAATTAAGAAGCAACATTGGAATCATTCCCTAATCGCCTTTCTTATTTACAGGAACTATTAGAAGAAATCTAGATCCTTTTGATAATTTCACTGATGAATAATTATGGAAGGCACTAGAACAAACAGATCTTATTAATCATGTTAGAGCATTTTAAAGTGGTCTATAAACAGATATGAGTGATGTTAATTCAGTTTTTTCTGTAGGATAAAAACAATTAATTTGTTTAGCTAGAATAATATTACAGTAAAAAAAAATTATAGTTTTGGATGAGGCAACAGCCAATGTAGATATGAAGACTGATGATTTCATATAAGACACACTAAAGAAGAAGTTTTCAGATTGCACGTTAATCACAATTGCGCATAGATTGAACACAATTGCAGATTACGATAAAGTTATGGTTGTAAGTGAAGGGTAAGTAATTGAATTTGATACTCCATTTAATTTATTAGCCAATTCAATTAATTCTACAACTGTAGATAAATCAACAGAGTTTTCCAGATTGGTTAAAAACACTGGTGATTAAAATTCTTAAGCCATTTTTGATATTGCTAAATAAAAGCAAATCAGAATGTGATTTTATTTATTTGATTTAACAGTTATTCAAATCTTGTCTTTATATTCGCTTCCATTTACTTTAATCTAAATATATCAAGAAGTAAATTTTTAAATTCTTTTATATTATTATTTTGTTCTTAAAAACAAAATAAGAGGTATTATATAACAATGTTAGATCTATGATATATATAATTTCATCAGAGTTCAAAGACTAGATCTTCGTGATCTTAAACTTTTCCAATTTATTGAAATTAAATCTATCTTAGTTGTTGATACATACATAATTTGAAGATGTTTGTAGTTCATCCTTAACTTATTCCAAAAATTCATTATGATGAAAATATTAATTATTCATTTTTTTATTTAGTTCTTCCTTTAAGAATGGATATGCTGGTTAAAATTAATCTTACTTCATTAGAGTATTTAATTATCTAGATAAAACTAAAAATTAATTCTGCTATTACTAATTATATTTAATAAACTCAACAAGAGAAGTAATTTAATTGCGTGTAGTAATATAATTATCATGCATTTTTTTTCTTATTGCTTCCAACTCTTAATTTCTTTTTTTTATTTCCTCTTTTTATTTCTACTCTTGATATTCCAATTAATTTTAGTCAATTTGATCTTATATTTTGCTCGGACTTATTTTAATATCATCATTTGGATTCAATGTAGAAATTGGACGAGGATTAATCTGAGAATGTTCGGTATTGAAAACAAAAGACTTTGACAAAGTATTCGGTACAATTAACAATTAAGTATTCATATTTTTATTAGTTTAAGGTTCTTAAGAGTAGGCTTAAATTTTTGGTAATTTTAATGGAACAATTAAACTATCATTTTGCTAGGATTTACTTAATTCTTTCATTCGCTTTTTGTCTTCAGCTATCATCTTATTATAATTATAAATATCCTATTCCAATTTCTATTGTTATAGCTTTTGTCTTTTTTCTAAATCTTAATTGTCTAAGATTGAATGAATTTAGAATCTTGATCTTGGTTATCTTAAATAATCAAAAGCAAACATACTAGAACAGGAATTGATCCTTGACATTATCTAAAATTCTATCTTCTTTATTTCTCTCCTCCTTTTGTCTTATTTGATTTTCTAGATACAAAGCATATTCCCTTTTATCTATTTGATTTCTTGGATTATAACCACTTTCGAACCTCCTTCTCATTATTAATTAATAAATTACAATAAAATTAATACTTTAGTAGATGTAGAAGGAAAATAACAATTCAATATAAATGTGATTATTCAATATCTAGAATACATTCACAGAATAAAATTGACTTATTAATTACCAATTGAAGGTTATAATAGCATATATATATTGTTATAATAGGATAATATATTCTCTAAGAAATTAAAATCTTGCTTTTTTACTTTTTCACAATATTCGAGACATATATTTATTGGATTAAATTTAAACCATTTCTATAGGTCTATTCCTAATCGTTAATGACTTAATTTCTTTTTCTCAAAATTTAGGTATTTTAAAAATGAATTCTTTATCCAAATAATTAATGAAAGGTTTATAATAAAAAATTAAAATATGTATTTAATATATAATAATTCACCAAAAGATGCAGAAAAAAGCCATGATCGCTCTTAATCTATTTCCAAAATCAAATTGATTATCTCCCATATTATTCAACAAATTTTAGTTTAGCCCTATAATTTGCTATGAAGCAAAGAAGGCAAAAATTTAATCTAAGCTTGGTTAGTAAATTGAAAAATCTGTAATCAATAATTATTTTTGTTTAAGTTCTAATTATAAGTACTAGAAGAGATGGGATAACCTGAAATATCCTGATGGAATTTAGTAGGATAAATAACTAAAAATTATTGAATAATATATTACTTTTCTCTGTATTCAAAGACAGGTTGTAACTGGAATTACTGTGACAATTATAGCCAAATAGTTTGATGCACTTGTTCTTTTCTACCGATATTACATTTCACACTAAATCTAGCTTACTCTCCTAACTAGGCTCTTAATTCATTTATAGTTCCTTAAGTAATTAAAAACCCATTGACCATGATTCCAATCCTATTACAAATACTTTAAGCCTCTTATAATGAATGAGTGGTTAATAGAACTGAAGCATCATTGTTTATGGTAGATTATAATAGCATCTATTGTATAATCCTTCTAGATTTTGGATCCAACCCAGTTGTAGGTTCATCCATAAACAATCTATTTGAGCCTCCAATCAATGCTATTCCAATTTGTACCTTCCTTCTTTCCCCTCCACTCAAGTACTCTACTTTTCTGTCCTTTATATCATACATGTCAAGAGCCTTCAAATAAACTTCAATTGCATTTTCCAAGTTTTCTTAGCCTTTCAAAGCTCCATAAATGCTGAGATGTTAATAAACAGTTAGAGTAGGATAGAATGGACAAAACTATGGTACCAACCCAAGATTGGACTCTGAGTCTCTAACTCTTACTTAACCTGTAGTAGGCTGATCAAACTTACTGATCATATTAAAGGTAGTTGATTTTCCAGCGCCATTTGGTCCAAGCAATCCATAGATTTCTTTTTATTTTACTTGGAATGATAGTTTGTGAACTGTCTCCACTACTCCAATTTTCTTTGTTAATTCTTACACATCAACGACAGCATCAGTATCACTCATGTCTGGTTGAATTTACTTATATTACCCTTTGTCAAGTTATTATAGGATGAAATAGTAAACAACTCCTCCAAGTATTAGGTATAAAATGCAAGAGAAATAACTAAAAATAGCTCCATTCAATAAAATGGGACTCATTGCAAAACCCATGTAACAAGCTGAATATGGCGATAATATCATCAATAACATTGAAAACATATTTAACCCCAAAGGACATGAAGGTTAAGCAGTGTATAGCATGAGTATGAAAAAGAACAGGAAAAATACAAAAAATTATAGTAATGGAGCACCTACATAAACTCGTTGTGAATTTCCATAGAAAACTGCTATGCAATTGGCAAAGCAGCTCAATGAGACTCCGAAAACTGTTACTAAGAGGAAAACTCCAAAAATATGCTATCCAAAATGACCAATATCATAGATATACAATAGAGTTGCTGTGAAGAGACCTTCAATAATTGATGGCACTATGTCAGTGAGAACATTACTCAACCAATAGGTGTGTATTTGGACTCCACTTGCATACATATACTATTTAATTTTAGTATCTTTTTCATCCAATTGAATCATTACATATAAAGTAGAGGTGAAAGCCTTAATTGTCAAATACAAGAAGACAAACAAAAAGGAAGATTACAACCCAAATATGACGGCTATGTAGATAAATGGTAATGGGAATAAATATTTCCACTGTTTGTCTGTGGAACTAAACAAAACCAATAGTTTTCTCTATGCTAAACTAAACAATTAAGCTTTGAACTCTATCTTTGGTTTCTATTAAAATACTCTTTAGGCATTCAAATCAATATTCTAGGTACCGTATTAATAATCAATAGCAAGATAGGAATCTTCAAGAGAATTTAACTAAAGTGAGAATTTACTTTGTGAGTTTTCTTCTAGATAATTTAAGAGCTCATGAAATAAGTGAATTTTATTGACTGGTAATACACTCTTTAAAGAATTTGGAGCACATTAAATTACTGGAGTGTAACTGTCTATTTTTTAGAGTTAAGTTTAAATTCTTGGTTTCTCTATTAATAATTAATTTTGATCCTAAAAGTCCATTTGTAAATGATAACCTACTCCGAAGTTAAGTTTTATAAAATCAGGAGTGCCTTAGGTTACAATTTACCCATTCATCAGAATTCCAACTCTAGAGGCTAATTCATCAGCTTCTTCCATATGATGAGTGGTCATTATGATTACTCGATTCAATCTCATTTATTTAATGACATCCCAAATTTATTATCTTGTCAATGCATCCATTCCTGATGATGGTTCATCCAAGAACACAATTTTAGAATTTCCAATTAGAGATATTGCCAAACTCAATTTCCTCTTATTTCCACCACTCAATTGATCTGCCTTCATGTTAGCTTCATTTAGTAATTGGCAAACTTATAAAATATAATTGATTTGTTGTTATAATTCTTAATCTTCAATGCCTCTCAATTATCCGTAGAACTTCAAATGCTCATAGACATTCAGTTCTGAATAAAGGACATCTTTTTATAAGCATATTCCAATCTGATTCTTGAATTGCTTATTATCTATACTTTATCCTAAGATGTTGATTTTCCCTTTAGTTTTTTCTGATAATCCAGATAATATATTAATTAAAGTGGATTTACCAGCTCCATTTGGTCCCAATAGACAATAAATTTCATTTTAATATATCTCCATATTGAGTGACCTGAGAATATATTGATTTTCAATCTTCTTCCACATATTTTCTACTTAGATATATGGTTATCCTTGATTTTCTACAAGTTAATCTTAAATATTCAGCATAGGTTTGTAGAGTTAATATGGCTCAGAATCTTAATTATTAACATTAGGATTTGATTCATCATCAAAATCAGTATAGGTTTTATTGTTCTTTTTGCAATAATCGCATAAGAAGAAATACTTTTTAGATCCACTCAACACTTAATCGAAATACATAAAGCCGAGTGAATAAGCCACTATCTAAACAATTAAACAAGTGATGTAGATTCCAGGATTTAAGAAGTATTCTTACTCACTATAGAGCCAATGCGAACTTAATAATAGCATTTAGAATGCGGTTTACGGTACAAACAATGTTGGTAATTGGCCAAGGAATGTTAATTTCGGCTCTGGTGCAAAATTGGAAATCACAACAAATGTTAATACTACATTCAATAGTCCGATGAGTTCACTTGCCTTATTTTAGTTTTTGGAAAATGAACTTAAAAATAATACCAAAGATGCTAAGGCACAAGAATATAAAATGAATCCTAAAAATAACATATCAATTCTTAAATATCCTTTGCCTGCCTCGTTGAGTCTGAATATAATAAATGGTATTATATAGAGCAGCGAAACACCAATAGTCAATACAAAAAATGTTATAATCCAGGATGCATAATAGGCATTTGAACTTAATCCCATTTATTATTACAGCTTCTTAAAGTTAGAGCTCTTTTCTCTAATAATCAATATTAACGAGTGTCGTAATGCTCCATTATTATTTAAGCAAACAAAGATCAATAAAATGTAATATGTGTCATTATTTTTGTAGGTAAAGATTATTGATAAAATAGCACTTAATATCGGAACGTATAAGTTTACCCAGAATTATTTTGATCTGAAGTGTAAGGTGAAATTCTTATCTAATAAAGTTTTTAGTTAATTCATATATACAATTATTTAATGATTATAATATTAATATTTTTATATTATTACTTATAACACCATATAGAAACAAATTACATATGGATGTAATTTAATAATCTCAATAATTATTAAACTTATTTTCTCATTCAAATTTTGATTAACCAATTAGACTCAATTTATTCATTAATTGTGAATAGTACGAAATAAATCTGTTTTCATTTTCACCTCATTGAATGTTTTAATTTGCTCAGATCTATCTATAATTAGTTTGGATATTATAAATTAGAGGAACTATGATTATCTAAACTAAATTTTAATTAAAAATTTAATTTTACATCAATTATAAATAATATATGGATAGCTAGTTTTCTAAATTTACTAAACTAAAGCTGAACCAATTATTTTATATAAATTACTATCTCTAATACATATAATTTAATAGACCCTCTATATAGCAATAAAAATAAATGAATATATTAAAAAAAAAATCTCTTAAATTTGCACATGTTTTATCCTTATATAGAAATAAAGAAGAATAATTTAGGATTCTCATTCATTGACTAGTTCTCTAGGGTGGTATTTTATAAACTATTATCTTTATTGAATAGAATAAATTAATCTTTTATATGTAGATTATTTATTTTGAAGATTTATAAAATAAATTTAAATACCTTGATGAGAAAAAATAATACCACTTCTTTTGGCAGAACTATTGATTTTATGAGGAAGATATCGGATTATAGGTCAAGATATCAGCCACTAGAGTTGTAACTACAAAAGAATGGGGGGTTATAGAAACAAATATATTGTGATGAAGGAAATGGGATTACTAGTGCAAAAACTTAAAACATAAGCATCAAAGGGATAGGCTCATTGAGGGGAGCAATTAATTAGAATACGGAAAGAAATGAAACAATGAATTAATCATAAGTAATGAAGATTGATCACGAGGGATTAATTAGTGAGATCATATTTTTATAGAACTAAAAAAGAAGAAATGAAGAAATAAACAAACTTGATGAGAGCTAAAAAAATGAAATAGAAGAATTCTGTAAAGAAAATTCAATAAAGGTAATGATTTGCATAACTATGTATTCTGAACCTTTATCAGAACTATAAAAATCTTTATAGGGGATACAAGAAAGTCTTCTAGAGTTTTATGAAAACGATATATTGCCACATTAAATTGTAGTAGTTGTGATATACGATGGGATTGAAAATATCAGAAATTAAGCAGATGAAAATGATAATAACCAAGAAGGTGACATTATACGTAAGTATCGTATTTATTTTTAGCCTACTTTTGCTAGTATTTGGATAAATAAAACAATATAGAAGGAAAATAAACTCTGGAAGATCAATATTTGAGATATAAATTCAAAAAAGAATTAATTTAAAAATACTCTTTGGAATAAAGAAAACTATTTTAAGAGAAATCGGATTTATTAAAATTAGCTTATCAAGATAAATATTTAAGAAATTAAATTAAAAAAAAATAAAAACAAGAAAATGACCTTTAAACTATTTTAGAAACTATGGAGGAGTAGTATAAAAAGGCGAAGGAATATATTGAATTAAGATAAAATAATGCTTTGGTTTATCAAACTGTTTAAAAAATAAAGGTTCCAAATAAAGATGAAGAATAGATGCCTATCTTTCATGTTTTCAAATTTGCTAATGGAACAAAATTGTCTTCACATTTGTGGTTTTTTAAAGGGTTTTGCCATGAATTTTAGCCAGAATATTGTGTCTTGATGGACTGCGGAGCAAGACCTTAAAAAGCGTCTGTTTATAATTTGATAAAGGAACTAATCAATAATGATCAAGTAGGAGGTGCATGTGGAAAAATGACGATTGAGTTATCTAAAACAGGTAATTAAAAGGATGACTATATGGACATGCTAACCGAACTGTTAAGTGTGAACATTTTCAATATCGAAAGATGTTAAAAATGTGAATACGATATTGGCAATTTATTGGATAAGTAATTTGAGTCAGCATTGAACTTTATTTAAGTTCTACCTGGAGCCTATTCAGCCTATAGGTACAAAGCTTTTTCGACTAAATATTAAAAGGACAATTAAGCTTAAATTGGTGATTCCTAATTACAAATGAATAATGAAATTAGTTAAAATGAAAATATTCTTGACTTTTACCTAAAATCTAAATTAGATCCTAATTATGAACATGGCACCTTAGAAGAAGCAAATATGTTTTTAGCAGAGGATCGTGTCTTATGTTTATACTTGTTTTGTAATGGTTACTACTTGAAATATGTCAGGGATGCTTTGGTTGAGGTTGATCCTCCATAAACCATGATTTAACTGTTATTATAAAGAAGAAGATGGATAAATGGATCATTTTTTGCTTTGAATTATGTAATAAAGAAATTCGCACAGTTATTGCCTAATAGTGGTCATTCTAGAATTGATAAGTCCTTATTCATAATTTGTTTGGTATTTGGCAGAATTTCATAAGGTAAGAAAATAGTAGTAAATTTTAGTTATGCAATATTCCATCCTCTCGCTTTAGATGGTTTGGTTATACATGATTCTAAATACTTTAACAGAAACTTTAGATAAAGTGATTGCTTCAGCAATTAAATAGGCAGTTATGGGGAGTTATGGCTTCTTGATTTTCTGTTTGATCTACCTTTCATTAAATTATAACGCAAGTAGTGTTAATATGATTAGCAAGAAGGATGAAAAAGAGGAAGAAAGACATAAAATCAATTAATACTTCTTCTCAAAATTTTATGGGATATCTACAATATTAGGGCTATTGAGTATTTTCAATGCTGCAATAACAATTTATTTGTTCATTGTTGAATTGATAATCAACCAATCACCTTTTAACTTTATTCAAATTCCTTAGGATCTGCCTTCCTATGTTTATTTTATAGTTTTAGTCTCAATAATTATAACAATTTTACCCTTTTTTTTACAAATATGTATTGATCGGAAATTGGTAATCTAAATAGCAATAAATTCAATCCATTACATTTACTATATGCCAACTTATTCTCATTTATTTATCACATACTCTTTCTGCAGAATAGACGATTTGACTTGGGGAACCAAAGGTTTAACATAGGAACTAGAGAACAAAGATTAAAATAATAGAGAATCAAATAAAAAGTACCAAAAGTCTAAGTTTTTAATTAAATGGATTTTATGGAATGTTGGGGTAGTATTAATATTCTACTTACTATTTTCTTTCAAAATTCAAAATATAATAATTATAATAGTATTAGCATTGGGGGTTACTTTTTGTATATTGTAATTAGCAAAGTTTATTGGTTACTTTAAATTTTGGCTTAATTAGATAAAATCAAAATATTAATCCAATTTTTAAGTGCATAACTCTGATTAATAATAATTTGGGAGACGCAGCACTAAGAGAGAAAGAAGCATAAAGCAAAAGGAAAAATTAAGAGCATTGTATTAACCTTTTTCTTAAGATGAAGGATAATCTTAGATGCATCAATGATTTATATTAATAATAATAATTATAGATTGATATCACTCATCTCCATTCATTTTGGTGCTGCTGATATTTCTGCATTATCATATGGGAAATAGAATGTTGACATGTTATCTCTGAAAGTCCATAGGTTGTATTCTGGTACCACATCATATCTAAATTTATATAAGGTACTCTTGTAGCATCCAGATTTTTTGATTTTCTAAGATTAATGAGAAATGTACTCTGGCAGAGGCTTCGATATCTTTTGTTGAATATTTACGATTTTTGAGATCAGACATAAATGGAACATTTTTGCATCTAATTCCTTCATTAACTATGGCAACTCTATTCTATTTAGATGGAGTACAGTTGTATATGATTTTAAGTTCATGAAATCTAAAGTAATAGTTTACCAACAGCCCCAACAACAAAGTCATTCATACCGTAATAGATAATGAAGTCCCATTCCTTCAGATCTCCTTCAATATGAACTTCATCAAATTGTGGCCATGAACTAGCCTATTACAACACCTTTCCAAATTGTTCAGTACAAGTGAAGGGGATTTAATGCCAAGGAACATTAAGTGCCAACATATTATAGGCTGCAGTCATTCCTTAATTATAGCATGCTTACGATTGATCTCCAATATGGCCTGTACCATTAGTATAATAATAGGTATGAGCACAACTACCAGCAGCAAAGATTCTCTTAATATCAGTCCTCTAGAAGTAATCCACCTTCACTCTCCCTGCATTATCGAATTCAAATTAATGATCACTTACTTCTGCAAACTCGGTTTTTGGTGATACTGTGCTTGGGAACAAGATCAGTGCATCAGATTTGAGTTTCTTCTTTCCCTTGAAGACAATTGAATCCTTTTCGAATTTCTTGATCTTTATGTTCTCATATATGTTGATTCCTTTTTCAACATGTAGATCCAAAACAAGATTTGTGAGTTCAGGACCATATTAAACTTAGAATTGATTTTCATCGTTTGGGATCAATGATGTTAATTTTAATGTTTGGATGTTCTTAACGAATAGTTTATGCCACTTCTAATGACATTGTATTAATACCTATGATAGACTAAGATAGAAAGATCAAAATATCAGATCATTTATAATTTTCTGTTTTTACTTCATCTATTAATGAGAGTCAAGGGAATTGATATAAAAGACTGGTTGATTCTCAATTCCTTTAATTGGAGGATCTACAGGATCTGTTCCTGTTGCTATCAATATTGTGTCATAAACAATCTTATTACTGTCATCCAACTCCCCATATGTATTACTATATTTATTATTGACATAAGAGATTTTTCTGCCTAAATAAGCATCAATAGCAATAGCTTAGTACCATCTATCTTTTCTAAAAAGGACGTTTTCAGGTTTTGTTGCCTTGATTCTTTTGCTCATCATACTCTTGTCATATGGCATATAATTGTCATTTCAAATGTAGGATATCTCACCTGCATATCCTAAATTCTCTCAAAGTTGTCAGACAAGCAAATGCAGCTGCTCCTCCTCCATAAATAATGACTTTTCTTTGATCATTGTATTCTCTAAAATGATATTAAGGAATTATCTTTTTAGGCACTATTAGAGGGGCATAAACCTCAATTGAGTCTTCATTCTCCTTTACTCCAAACTTAGACAAACTATCAATAGATGGAGGTCCTTCTACCATGCCATTTGTAATATCGAATTAGCAGCCATGTTTTGGACAATATAGTTTATTCCCAAAACAAATGCCTTCTGATAAATCTGTTTCCAGGTCGTAGGGATATAGACTACCAAATGCATAAATTTTGCCTTAATATCTCGTTATCATGGAATCAATTACTCTTTGTATTATATAATAATTTAATAATCTTCATCTCCATTCTATATCATAAATGGCATTAATTCACCCTCTTTTGGCTTCTTGAAACTTGTATATGTTATTAATTGAGTATTGTTATAATCCAACATTTAGGCTTTCTAAATTATTCCCTTCTTCTATTCTTCAGTTAGATCACTCTACAACTTACAGGTACTCCTAATTCCTTTACAAGCGAAGAGAAAGATGGGAATTAATTTCAACATTCTCCTCCTCACATAAAATTAATAAAATTGTTTTCGTTATTGTATATATTTAACTCCAAAGTATCTCAGCATAATTAAGTATAGTTATCGAATTTCAACACTTTCAACCAGATTTCCTCTAAAATTAAATTAATAGACAAATCATATTCTATTAAGAAGTTAATAAATTCTTTCCTCATATTAAGTGTGATTAATTAAATTCATTTTTGGCAGTAGAATAAAGTAAATAAATTAAATTTATGTATGAGGGTAATTTATGCATCAATTTTTTAGATTAAGAATATTCAAAACCAATCTTTAATTAAGAATAGAGGCTCTCTTTAGTTAGACATTACGTTGAATATTATGAAAGCGTTAATATTATTTTAATCATTGTTATTACATTATTAATATCTGAATAATAATTTGAATTTTTTCAAATTAATGATTCGTTGCATTAGTATATTGGGATAGAATTCTGATTAAAAAATTCATATTCTTTCACTTGAAGAAGAATTCTTAACTATACTAGTGTTTATTTTAATGTGCTAAAACTAATTTGGTCATCATGATTTATGAGGCCGAATGGGTTTTTATTAACTTCATATATATGTTAATTAATAAATAATATAATAAAATCAATGATGTAAGATTCATTATTTGCTGAATCCTTTTGGAATCCTATTTCGCTCACTTCATTTTCACATGATGATGATTATAATGTAAATTTTTAGATCTCATTTAATTTAGGTGTTTTAACTACACTCTGAAAACACCCCAGTAGTAATTAGAGTCATTGATGGGTAATTATTATCTAGTAGTTAATAATTGGATTTATCTCAAACATACATTACATTAGATGAGAAGGGAGTAACACTCTAAAATCAATTTGGATAAATTACATACTCAGGGCCATAATTATAGTAGTTTTATGAACTCATTAATAAACTCTGTATACATCTGGATGTTCACGATCATTACTAAATTGAGAAACTAACTCATTAGTTAGATAATTTTGAAGTATTAATATATATTCAATTAGATTTTTCAATCTAGAGATAAAATGACTGGTAATTAAAAATCAATAAAAAAGTATTCAAAAAACCTAGGAAAACAGTATTTGAAGGACATTCTCAACTACTCAAATTATGAGTTTTTATTTGAAGATGACTAATATTTATATTTGGTCATTTAGTATTTAAATGGATAAAATATTCAAAACTTGGCTTTCGAACAGTCCTTCTTTGGATTACTTAAACTTTTATACAATTATCACAATAAAGGATTAGCGTTGAATCATTTTTCTGTAAAACTATAAGATTTATTTTAGGAATCAAATACCATTTTGTTGGATGAAAATTATAATATGGAAATACTGGATAATTCTTAACTTAAAAGAATTACTTAAGATTATCAAAATGAAGTCTTGAAGGATGTGGAAATTATCAAAAATTATTTAATTTAATAGTAACTTAACTTATATTATTCAGATTTCCCCTCAAACAAGATGTCCTCTTAGATGTTGTTAATACTCCTTTCAACTCCGTACAGGAACTATTATTTAATTCATGTTTTATTAATTACTTTGGAGAGAGAAACTTTTTTGTGTTCCTAAATGCATAGCCATATTAACAGTTAGGCTATCTCTCGTCTAATCCGTAACTAAATTTGCTTGAAACATTCAACACTATTAGATCAAGCATTATGGATTCATCCGATGAATCAGAGGACGTCCAATTAATTAATCAGTTTAATTTTTGCCAATCCCAGTTCGAAGACTCTCCAATGCTCTCTCCTTAATTGAAACCAAAACATCAATCAAGATTATCAAGTAGATAAGTTGTGTTAGAAACTCTATTAAATGAACATATAATTACACCTGAACAATTCTAATAGTTTTATAAAGAAGAAGATTTTCAGAACGAACAAGAAATTAATGAATTCAGCGAAATGCTCTCTAAGGAAATCGAAAATTCTTAACTAACAACCCCAAATTAAAGTGAAGTAATATTATTCATATATTATTATTAGTCCACTGCTACTTGTCCTAATACAGTCATTATTCACTCAAAAAAAAATGTTGTTAATCGCATTTGCGATATAATACATGAAGCTTAATAAGAATTTATTTATGCAACTAAAAAACCATATAATGTTAATAAAGTTTAGAATGTAAGGAAGAATCTATTCAATCTGCATTGATCTTTTTAATATACCGAATACATAATTTTGTTATCTTTATTAATCTTTTTTGTTATTTCATATTTTAATTGCACAAGTTTTAAATAAATTCTATTAATAACAATTCATTCACTATAATGCATGAATAATTAAAGTAATAATAGAGAGTCTAAATGAATTGCATCAAAAATTATACTCCTTCTCTAATGATTGGCAAATCCTAGACATTATAATAAAACTACCAAATATTTAATAATACTAATTATACTAATAGGTAATAATTAACTCATTAAATCTTTATTTATTATTATCACTAAATACTAGAATAATTACTTGCTAAAGTATTGGTCTGATATTGTTTATTTATTCTTCTGTATGAGAATAAGGTTTCTTAAGTGGAGGTTACAACTATATATTATTAGGTCTTAATAGTTAAGTTGCCATCTAATCATTATATTTTTATTATGGCAACCCTAATATTCTACTGATTTCAGCTATTTATCATCTCAGGAGAATGTTAATACTCCTTCAAGTTGAATTGCATGAGGTTTTCAGCCAAAATGAGTACAAACCTTCTCAATCATATTTTATTTAAATCCATAAGTTTTGATAATCAATAAGTATTTTTAATATGTCTACCTTGGTCAAATTCTCTTAAAAGGAATTCGCTTGTCTTTCAATAGTATTTAATATTTTATAATGAAATCAAATTAAAGACAGCTTCAAATATAATTAATGATGCTAGAATTATAAATCAAAAGAAACTCATTTAATATTATTTTTTATACTATTTTTCAATCGAACATCTTAGATATTTGAGAGGCTTTGCATTTTGCAATCTAAATCGTTCTCATTATTATTGCTTTCTTCATCAATATTTCCACTCGAATCCTCTAAATTAAATTTGAATTCAGCATTTCCTTTTAAATTTTATAAGACATCATTTTAGATGGCTGAATTCTTAGAACCAATTTAGGCATAAATTATGCTGTTATTATGTGGATCAGGGTTATCATTTATATCTGTTTAAGTTTTAAAAGGGTTGTGAACACTATTATGAATATTGTTATTATTATTGTTATTATTATTTATTATACACATATAAGAACCTTTGTTATTTTTGCTTCTTAATTTTTCACTTTTTTTAAGTATAAAAGATCTGCTCTATCTACTTGCAATACTGAAAAGATCGGCTTAGCTTTCTTCACACATTAAGATTGATTGCTAAGATATCATCTACTACTTTTCTTTAAAAGCCTTGACTACTTAACTCAATTCTATTGATTTTTTCTAATTAAGATTTTTCTCCATTTTCATAATCTTATTTAATAAAAATTTAATTACTCTATGTTTTGCTTTTAGATTCTTAATTTTAGTTTCAATATGGAGATCCAATTATTCAGTTAAGGCCGAATAGAGACTCATTAAGTCCTATGTAACTTCATCAAACAAATCCTAAGATTATGCCACAAAATCCATGACCTTTTAATTGTTATCCAATAATTATTCTAGTCGCCTTTCCATGAACTTCAATTCTTTGAGATTTAAAGTTTGTTAATCTTGCAAATTTGGATTTGAATCTATTACAGCAAATTATTCTTTTATTTTTACAATTTCATTGTTCTCTTCTGAAATTCTTAAAGTTTAAGTTAAATTCATTCCCATAACAGCAACAGGCCTATAATTTAATGACGATTTACAATGAAACAGATGTGATCCCAAAGAATGCAGCAATACAGGCAATAAATTTACCAGATAAACTCAATGGTAATTTGTCTCCATATCCAACAGTTGTCATTGTAGCGATGCACCACCAAATTGCTTCTGATATTGATTGTATTTTTTATTCATCATTAATTTCAATATTGTCATTGAATTCCAAATAATATACTATAATTGAAAAAAATAACACAAGGAACAAAAACATGGTTATCAATATAAGAATATCCTTAAGTGAATGCCTAACCGTGTCTACCTTTTTAAGTGATGCTAATAATTACAATCATCAACATATCCTTAATAAATCGAGATAATTTAAATAATCGAAATACTCTCATGAATCTAATGATTCTGATGACTCTCAATCCAGAAAGATTAGCTCCTTCAAATATCAAATTAAACAAAAAGGGAGTGATGGCAAACAGATCAATAATGTTTAGTGGGGATAGAATAAATCGAGTGAAAGTTGAATCAAAAGCAGTTGAACTGAACATTCTTAAAAAGTATTCTGATCCAAAGAATATGAATAAGTAATATTCTAGATAGAATGAAATGTTATCATATTCTTAATTATTCTCTATTAGTAATTAAAATGTTAAAATACCATTTTCCATTAAGGAATCAACAATTATGGCTACACATGATAACAAAATGCTTGTTAGCAATAAGAATTATATTATATAAGCAATAGCAGAGGAATTCGGATCTTCTAATAGAACATAGATATATTGTTGCATTCCTTTGCATATCACTTTGAATTTTCCATAAAATGTTTGATTTTATAGTTTTTTTTTAAGAGAAAAATCTTCTGTTCTGAATTTTCTGATCCTATTTTTTTAGGTTGAAGCCTTGAGCTTTTAATTTGAAGAAACACTTTCTTCCTTTGGGGAGAATATTTAGCTAGGGTTTTATTCTGAATTCATGATAATTAAATTCCCTACTTTTATAATTTATAAATAATATCAATATTCTTTTTCACAAAATTAAAAAACCATAAATGAAACTTCTACATTATAATTCATTTTTGTTGACCTATGTAAATAAGTTTATTTAAGTCTCTTATTCTTTAGAATTTATCTTGAATTTTATAAAATTCTTACTCCTGTACATACTTGCTATTACCTTAATTCAAATAAAATGTTATCAATTAATATTGAGCATAAAATTGTCACTGACCTATTAATAGAGACACAATATCTCTATAACTTCCTTATGTAATTGTTAAATTCTCTTTTTGATTGATCATTTTGTCCTCACCATAGATAATATAAATGGCTTTCTTATAAACTATAAAAAAATTTATTATCTTATGTTGTTGTATATTTAATATATCAATATGATCTTCCCCATAGCACATACTTCTTGGCTTATTGACCACAATTGAAGCACAACTCTCCTTCCTTTACTTAATCTTACTTTAATGGCATGCATAAGGTTTTAGCACTACCAGTTAATTACACTTATCCATCAATTTCAGAATCCTTCTCCTTAGACTCTATTCCTGATTTAGTTTTCACTTCCTTTTCGCATTCTTATCTTTCACACCTAAATTATTTTTGATTGATAAATACCATCTAGTTAATATTGTATTTCTTTGGTTTAATTGGCTCATAAATTCTTTCCAATTATCTGCTTACTTGATTCTTTGATTTAATTCAGTTCTAGCTTTATCTAACATGGCGTTATGGATGTTATCAAGTATTTAAGTTAATTGATTAAGTTCTTCAAATTTAATTTGATATTTCTTATTGTCAAATCTCTAAACAACTCTAACTTCATTATTCTTGAATTCTCCTGGTCCAATTTCCAATCTAATAGGAACTCCCTTTTATTCCCACTTATTAAATTTCCATCCTGGAGAATAGTTGTCTCTGCTATCCAAATGGACTCTTAATTTTAATTTTACCAATCTAAAGATATTTGAATTATTAAGTACATTTATCTAATTTATTCACATCTTTCATTCAATTATTTCTCATCAAGATCTTTATGAATAATTGGAATGATAACTATTTAATATTTAGCAATTCTTGGAGGCAATACCAAACCTTTATCATCACCATGGAACATAATCATGGCACCAATAGATCGAGTAGTTAAACCCCAACTTGTTTGCCAAGCAAAAGCTTTTTGTTTCTTATCATCTTCGAAATTAATCTCAAACATCTTGCTGAAATTTTATCCCAAATGATGAGATGTAGCTCCTTATAAACCTCTTCCATTTTATGGAATGATTGTTTCTACAGTTGTAGTGAAATCTCCTCCTGCAAATTTTTCTGATTCTGTTTTAATCTAGTCATATAAATTAATATTATACTCCTTTGATAACTGGGACAGCCAATAATTCACCATAGACTTATTCATAGAAGTCAAGAATAGTGTAAACTTATTTCACAGCTTCTTCCCTTGTGGAATGTGCTGTATGTCCTTCTTGCCATAAGAATTCTCTTGTTCTAATGAATGGTGTTGGGAATTTGAACTCCCATCTTACAATGTTTGTCCATTAGTTCACTTTTAATGGTAAATCTCTATGACTCTGTACCCACTTTGCAAATGCTGGATACATAATTGTTTCAGATGTTGGTCTTATGGCTAGTGGTTCATTCAGATCACTTTCTCCGTATTTTGTTACCCAAGCAACTTCTGCTTTGAATCCCTCTACATGTTCTTTCTCTTTATTCAAATGTTTAGCTGATAGAAACATTGGGAAATAAGTGTTCTCAACTTCCTCAGTTCTAATTAGATCATCAAAATATCTCTAGATTTATTCCCAAATAAAATATGCCCATGGTCTTAAAATATAACAACCACTGACATCATAATATTCAATCAATTCTGCTTTTCTAATAACTTATTGATACCACTCTGAGAAATCAGATTTTTTTACTGTGATAGCTAATGTTTATTAGTTTTGTTGATCCTTCTGTTAATCTTTTTGTAATTCTTTTTATTATTCCTTTTATTATTCCAACTTTTATTCTGCAGCAGCGTCTGTCAATTGTAAGACTGTAAATTATCTGTTTAGTACTTTTAAGAACTTGTTTTGTAAATCATCAAGTGAAATTTCAACTGTAGTTGTATTCTCAATTGGATGTAAAGCTAATCTCTTATATTTAGTTAATTCTTCATCTATGATAATATTTTTGACCTATTTGATATAAGATGAACATTACAAGATTATTTGTATCGTTGGCAACAGCAAAAGGATTTACATTGCCTTTACTTGATTTCAAAGCCTCAGCGATTTGCTCTTCTTTGCTCAATCTCATGTTTCCAGAAGCCAATCCAAGTGTTTTCCAAAACAATTTGCCAACTTAAGTTGCATTATTGGCCAATATCAAATAATAATTAGACTAATTGATAATAATATATTTCTTACCTTTTTATCAACATACAATAGATTCTTAACATATGCTGTGCCATCCTCTACCTTTATTTTAACAACTTCTTCCATTGTTGGAACTGGATCATGATGATGTGCAATATAATCTATTCCTAATTTTGTTAATTAGTCAAGACAGGCTTATTTGTTTGGTAATTAGAAATTGATGTCCATAAAAATATTAAAAATAATTTTTAGAATTTTTAAATTGATAATTCAGATATTCTTTCACTTTTAATTAATTACAAATAATTATAGATATTTATACTTTTTATACTTTTTTCAAAATCTCTTGGACTATTCTCAATAATAACAATAATCCACATTATCCAAATCCCTATAGCAAAGGCACAAATATGATTTAATCATATTTTATTAGAAATATAAATTATATTTACTAATTTTATCAACGATTTCCCAACAAAAATAAAGAAGAATCATGAGTATTTTGCATAATTTAGAACAATGCAGAAATATTTGATGAATTAGAGATATAATCTATCTATATTTTTGATAAATGATATTGATATATATTTCAACTATTTACTATTTACTTTTTTATTTCAATTTGAAATAACGAAATAATGTATTTTTGCTAAATAACAAACCATTTTATCTCTATTGAAATTAGTAATATTCTTCAACATATATTCTATCCTTAAAATAAATTTATTTAATAGTTTGACATAATTTCATTTTAGGAGAGGAGTAATTTCATATTTAAATGGGTTTAGATTCTCCATTCTATTTAATTCATTCTGGAGTTTATTTATTTCATATTGTAGATTATAAAGTGCAATAGATCTATATCAATCTACATTTAGAGAACCCAATTCATTTTTTACATTCTTAATCAAAGAGAAATATGGAAAACATAAAGGGTTATTCTTGAAGGTAATATTTTTCTTTTCTTTATGTTGATTTTCTTGGTTTCTAAATTAAAATATAATAATAAATATTTAAAATAAAAGAATGAGACAGTTGTCTTATGATTAGTTTACATGCCATACAGAAATTGATAATTAGCCCCATTTAAGAACTAATAGTTAATCTATATCCATCGCTGATATACATACTGCTGATACAAACAGAAAATTATAATAAATTGCTTTTGAATCGATAGAATATTTACAATAAGAGGAGGCAGAAGAGAAGGAATATATCATTCTTTAAAATAGCATTCGATAGTAATTAGCTATGCAACTTAAAATTGAAAATTTAGGTAGGAATATACTAAATTTATAGCTAAGTTTGATTTTTCAAATTTGGAGAACAAAATACAACTGATTTTTTAATGGATCATTGTAGTGTTTTATAGGACTAGTAGCGAAATGTTTGAATGGAAATCTTTTAAGGTAACGTATATCTGAGAATGAAAGGAAATTTGTATAATTGAAGATAAAGGGGTGGATTTAAGAAACAGAATTGGTTTGAAAAACATAGTTAGAATGACAAAATTAGAATTTGAACTCACCAAATAATTGATGCTATATAGAAGTAGTATTGAATCCAAAAATAACAATAACAAAGAAGTTGTTTAATTTATAAGTTAAATTTTTGACATAATATAAATAATAATAAGAACTTTTGAAGCTGGCTAAAAGGTTATGCGAATTGAGGAAGAATTAATAAAAGTAAAATTTATCATATCATTAGAGATAAATTTAAGAAAGTTAGTCAAAGGAGGAAGAAAAATGATATAGATTATTGATATTTTTCTATATATATATTCTTATGTTCTTTAAAAAAGTTATTAAGTGTCTAAAATATCTAAAAATTTAATTACACTCAAGCTATATAAAAAATGTAAGCTACTTATGATAAAAACGTAAAAGCTTTTGTGTAAATTAGTTTAAATAATTTATCATTTTCGACAAATTTTATCAGATTCTAGACGATTTGTTGATTGCCTTTGTGATTATATTTATTTTAATTATGAAGAATTTACCAAGAAATGATTTTTTTATTTCACAATTCTGTTTTTATTTCATCTTAAGCATTTAATTGATTGGGGCCTTGATTTTTTTTTTGATCAATCTAATGTCAGGATAAGTAATCAAGAAAGTGCTTGTAGATTAACGGATAGATCGCCAGTCTTATAAGCTGGAGGCGAAGGTTCGACTCCTTCCTAGCACATATTTTTAATTTTGGAAAACTTATTTAAATAGTTTTTTTGATAATATAACATAGTGATAGGAAATAAATAGTAAAAACCATTTGAAAAATAAGTATCTAAAACAAATTTATAAATATTATCAACAATTTATATTTATGAACTAATGAAAATAAAATTTGTTCAAGTATTAAAAATAACTCTGAATTTTCAAACACCATCATTAATATAATTTTCCAATTAATATATCCTATATTATGATATCTTTATGATAAAAAATGCTTTTAATTAGTAGAATCAGTAGTTTTACTTAAAAAGAATTATTATTTATGAGCTTCAATTAAAAGAATCCTCTCAACCTCTTGTTGGAATTTCGATAGGAACTACCTTGAAATGTCTCCCCTATACTCTTATTTTTATCATAAAAAAATTTTTCACCTAATTTTAATTCTATTCTCATCCAAGCTAGAGAGATACAGCTTGTGTTTTTAAATCTCATAGAAAGTGTTACTTAAAATCAAAAACAATAGCACAACTATATATAACTTAATAGATTATATTGCCAATTTCTCTCATAACTATTGAATTCTTACTTTTCCTAAAAATTTGTTTTAAGTTTAGATTTGAATAAAAGGATTAGAAAAAGTAAAAGGCTCATATTGTTTACAATTATTTCTTTTTTCTTGACTTTTCAGTTAATTGAAGCTTTCATTTACTGAATTAAAATTTTTCATTTGATTCTTGTTAACTTCGTATTTATAAATTTTTTCTGTTTATTTTGTGCTTTTCCATCCCACTCTTCAACTCTTTAACATTATTTTTCTTAAGTCTTTATTTCTTCAATTCTTCAAATAATTTTAGTATTTTATAAATTGTTTTTCTCATTTTTCTTAAATGAAATAATGTGCTTGTATGTATGTATTAACAATTATCAATCAATATTTTTGTTAGACTCATTGGTGGTCCTATATTTTTTAACAAATTTTAGAAGATATGTAATAAATATTCCTCAATTTAAATAGATTTGTTTTACTTTACATTTATATATGTATATCTGTACTATATATACAGATATATCATATAAATATTAAAGTTTGAGAAAATTACAAAAAATAGTTATTAATTAACATTTAAAAGTTTTCAGTTACACATATGCAATTAAGAATGATTATTAAATATTTTAGATTTGGGGACACAATTATTAATATGCCAATCAACTCCACTATTATTTCTTTATAGTAACCATAGGTCTGAATTCATTTGTTGAAGATTTTATTGTACAACTTTCATCCTGAAATTAAGTAACTGTACTTTTTGATTATTAGATTATGATTCTTAGGAAAGGATAGAATTGGAACATTTTAGGGTTATAAGACAGTAAATACATTAGGGATTCCACAAAAGGGAATATATATTAACTTGAATTAATGAATCAATATTAAAATTTATATAAATAACATGGGATGTGTTAATTCTCGAAGTGTTGACGTTTATCAAAGGAAATTCAAACTAGTTATTGTAGGGTTGGAAGGAAGTGGTAAAACAGCAATATTTGAATACATCAGACAAGGAAAATTTGTGCCAACAAAACCAACAGTTGGTTAGGAATTATAATTATCAATAGGTGTAAATGTAGATTTTAGTCATCCTGAATTTATGATTTTCGACGTGGGGGGAAAAGTGCCAAGTTTATGGAGTAACTATTACGAAAACACTGATGGACTAATTTTTATCATAGATTCTTCAAATAAGGAGTAGTTATATTAGGTGAAAGAGCAATTTGTTAAGTTGAATAAAGATTTAGAATACTTGAATGTATTACTAATTAAGTGAAATAGGTAGTAATTCTCATTATGTTTACAAAACAAGACAAAATGCATCTTGATAATCAGGTTTTGATCTAAGAATGCGGAGTGTTTGGATATCTAGAACAAGATACTATATTCTAAATGTGCAGCGCTAAAACCGGTGAGGGTGTTTAGGAAGGAATTTAAAAATTAATAAACTTAATCAAAAAACAATAAAAGCCGAACATTCCACTAAACCCAATAAAATAACATTAAAAAAAGATAGCAGTATGATAATTAATTCAAAAATATAAATCTAAATCTATTTTACACAATTTATCATATGGTAAAGATTATATTTACTATAACTGTTATTTCTTCTGCATTATTTTTTAATTATTGTTCTAGCCTCCATTTGAATTGATTTTACTGCTTTTCATTTAGTGTCTCTCACACATGTAATTACTCAAACTTTCAACATAAGGAGGATCAATAGTCCATACTCCACTTTATACCCAATTGGTCGTTAAATTTTTAATAACTTAGAATCCCTTCCCTAAATTGTTATCAAATAATCCACGTAGACAAGCATAAGTGCAATATATAATCGAAATATTATTGGAATAAGAACTGAGTACTCGGACAATCTAATACTCCTTTCGATTCAAATAGTTGCATTTTTAGATGAATGGTTTGAAATGACATTGCATAAGAATTGTGCCATTTGTACCACACCAAAATAATTGTTTATTTAGCACACAAGAGCATTTCATCCCAGCCATTACCTAATCTCCATTTATTTATGATAACTTAGGTTTGTTGATGTTCTCAAAGTCACCAGTTCCCAATTAGCCATGCTCATTACATCCCCAAATAAATACTTTTTTCAGTGAACTTAAAGCTATTACATGTTTATATCCACATTCCACTTATATGATTTTCTCATTAAATGGTAATCTTTCCACTTGTTCTCTAGATTTGTTATCCCCTAATCCCAATTGACCTTTCTCATTTTGACCATAACAATATAATCCTCCATTTTCACTTAAAAGTATTGTAAATGCACTTCCACATGACAATGAAGTGATTTTCACATTTATTTAAATACATTTTAATTAATCATAAACTTTACCTTCTGAAATAAACAATAGTCTATTTCTATAAGCCTTGATAAATTCAACATTCTCATGTAACAACTTAGGATGCTAAATATATTTATGTTAAAGACAACCCCAAATGAACAACCTATTATCATTTTGTTATAATAGACAATGATTTTATCCCATAGACATACTTTTCATCTTCCCAGTAAAACTCAAAGGGGTTGGACTATGTTTCTCTCCGTCTTATGTAAATCCTAATTAACTCATATCGTTTAAACCCCAACCATACAATTTATTACAACATGCCCCAATTGTTGTGTTTTCTCCAACTTAAATAAATTGTAAAGGATTCTCCTTTTCAAAACTTTAGATAAATAAATCCTTGTAGTTCGATGCAAATGTTCCATTGTAGCTATCAGAAGTATCTGAGATTATCTCCAAGTCTATAATAAAAGCAAATAAATATATTTTTGGCTGAATCAATGATTCCATACCCAGAATTAATGCTGAATCGTAGTCAGTTTTTTAACCCATTTTTAATCCAAATAAATCGCTCTCCTCCTGTAACTTTTGCTGTTGCAATTATTGTTCTAGTGGTAAAATATATTGGTCATATTATTATTTTAATTCTCTTCTCCTAGGTAATATCATTCTAAATCTCCTCTGAATTATTACAGCAGCTTATCTCATTCTCTAAAATACACAACTCAAATGTTTCATTCTAAAATAACCTTGAATCAAATAGGCCGCTTCGTGCATTTTGCTTAATCTCACTCTTACAATATATCCTCTAGCCCATCTCTATATAGTTTTTATTCTTTTTTCCATTCTTATTCGTCTTCCTACTTCTTTAATCTACTAGATTTCCTTTTTGTGATTTTTTCTAGTGTAATAACCTCGATAGTATTTTTATATTATTATGGCAGCATTAAATCTTACCTAATCCCAAGATTTATCAATTATGATGTTCAAAATTCTTCTAATATTTAAGTACTACATAATTCTCTTTTAAATTCTACTAATTCGAAAATTTTTTTGTATTTTCCTTACGCATTCTATTTTTTTTTTAAATTTATTTTCATGTATTTTACTTAAAATAGCACACTTTAAATATTCGATCTATTTTCTATATAACTTTTATTTCTTTCTAATTTAGTACATATAATAAAATTTTTAAATGAGGGTAGCAGCTTTCATCTTTTTTCTAAATTGTATTTTTCTTAATTTTCTTTTAATCCTTTTCGCCACTCTTTTAATCATTGCCATAAATTTTTTAAATTTCTCTCTCAATTAACACCTTCGAAAAGCAGATTAAATACATCGTGCCTTATCATTCTTCTCTTTCATCAACGAGGTGTAAATCTTATCAATCTAGGTCATTCCTGCTTCTTATATAAAGATTTATGTATTTCCAAATAAGTATAAATCCTTAGGCAATTCACTAAATTGTTCTTAGAACATTTTTAAATCCAATGCCTTATAATCTTTATTTAATGGATCCTAGAATCCTCCTTCTTGAATGAATCTATATTTTAGGTAAAACCTCCAAAAATCTACTCTAATAGGGAACGATTCTTTTCTTACTTTTAATGAGTCTAAAACACCTAAATATCGAATTTATTTCATGGCATATTTATTATCCAATTTATTTGGAACCAATTCATCATTAGGTTTGATACAACGAATGAAATGAACTCCACATGATTGTAATTCTGTCATTAAACTTTTCATTTCATTTTTTATCTTCACAACAATTGATTTTGGTTTTGGTTATAATTAGACCATCTAGCTATTGCATTTTGCTTCTAATAGTAATTATGGAATTTCATCTTGATTTTTTTCAACAAAATCTTAACAAGTATATTCTACATCTTTGGCAGTATGCTTTATAGTGAAGGTAGGCTTTGAAGAATTGGCAAATTTGAGTTCTTTTCGGAAAGATTATAATAATTATTAGTCAGACTAATTTAATCTACAAGCTTAATCAATCAGATTAAATAAACAAACAGGAGGCTTATCAAACATATCAATCAATTAAGTGTTATCTTCGAATTTAATACTATCGACGAATTTTTCCAATCCTTCTCTTACAAATATTTTTTTCTCTTCTTTGAAAACGTATTCAATATATAATTAATGAAGTCTCTCATTTGAATAGTTAATCATCATTTATTCAAATCCATTAAAATTGTCGAAAACTTCAAAACCATATATATCCAATAAACCAATATATGTTGTTTTATCCTATTTAGCAATCAAAGTTTAGTTAAGTTTTTCAATAATCCAATTAAATAATCTTTCATAAATTTCTTTAGCCCAAGAGTCTCTTATTCTAATACAATCAAGTAATTTAATAGGTGACATAATCTTTTCTTTTCCATAGACAGCCTACTTTAAAGTTAAGGCTTTAACAATATCGTTGAAATCATAATCTAATAATTAGCAAATTTATTTCAATAGATCTTCGTTCTTTACATTACAAGGATTGGTGTTACCATAATTGCTATCATCAAATTATAATTCTCCAATCAATAAAACAGAATAAACAACTTAAAATACGGCTTCAGCATCAATATTAACAGTAGTGAATGCTTGGATCAATTCATCAAAAAATTTCTAACTGAAATAATTATCTGTGCCCAAATAATTAAAATTTTATCTTTAATACTTTGGATTGCCAAATAATAAATAAAATATGTGAAAATTTCTATCTGTTTTAGAATGGGAAACAACTCTACTCTTTTCCAATAGATAATTTACAATGTCTCCACCTACAATTTATTATTTTTCATTCACAAAGAGTCTAGTGTACTTTCCAAATCTACTGGAATTCTTGTTCCTAATTGTTTTTGCATTACCAAATGCCTCTAAGATTGGATTGCATCCCATAATCTTATCAGATAATTCACTTTCTTCTGAGTTGACACTAGTTAATAGATTAAGACAATATCTTGCATTTTCTGTTTTGCCTGCTCCACTTTCTCCAGATATGACTATGGCTTAAGTTTTTTCAGTTAATTTGGTAAAAGCATATGCAGCAATTGCATAGGTGTGAGGTGTAATTGATTTATAGTTATGACGTTTTCTAATAATATATTCTACATATTCTTATAGATTTGCATTGAGACTCTTAAACGGATTAATAACAATCAGAGTTGGTCCAACATATGTAAATATTTAATCGTTTTTGTATCTCTCACTTAAGTTATATAAAAGTTATGGATCATTAATAATAGCTAGATTGACCATGTCGGCTTAAACATCCTCACATCTTTCCCACACTTGTCCATTCAATTTCCGACCATTTTCTTCACTTATATAGTTGTTTCCATCTGCAATTATACCTTTTATAAAATTATCACTCTCTAAAACCCAAACTTTATTACTAAACATTCTAGAATAATAGTGATGTGTTAATTATTTTAATGAACAAAGTTATCTGTCTTCTTTCACTATTGTTGGCTACTTCTTATGCACTTTATGACTCAAGATCCAAAGTGCAACTCCTTACCCCTCAAACTTTCAGAGAGAAGGTGCTGAATTCTAAATCTCTTTGGATAGTGGAATTCTTTGCTCCATGGTGTGGTCATTGCAAAGCCCTTGCCCCTGAATACGAAAAAGCAGCAAAAACATTAGAAGGAATTGTGAATATAGCTGCAGTGGATGCAGATGCTCACAAAGATCTTGGAGGACAATATGGTATCTAAGGATTCCCTACAATCAAATTTTTTGGAGAGAACAAAAATTCCCCATCTGATTATCAAGGAGAAAGATCGGCTTAGGCAATAATCAACTTTGCATTAGAATAAGTCAAATCGGTAAATATCTATTCTATTTATTTTAGACTGTGAATGGTAGGTAAAAAGGTAGTTCTTCAAATAAAAATTAATAAAAATAATCCTCTGGTTCTGGATCCGGATCTGGCTCAGGATCAGCCGATGATGTTATTGTTCTTACAGATTCAACTTTTGATGAAAATGTACTAAAATCTAAAGATTCTTGGTTTGTTGAATTTTATGCTCCTTGGTGTGGTCACTGTAAGAAACTAGAACCAGAATGGAATAAAGTAGGATCAGAACTCAAAGGAAAGGTTAAAGTGGCTAAGGTTGATGCCACTGCAAATACCTAATTAGCATCTCGTTTCGGAGTTTCAGGATATCCAACTTTGAAATTCTTCCCTGCAGGTTTCTCTAATGATTCAGAAGCTATATCTTATGATGGAGCCAGAGATTCATCTGCAATGATAGAATATGCTTTAGAATAATCTAACAAATCAAAGAAGGTGGAAGTAGTAGAGTTACTATCAAAAGATGTTTTAACAGAAAATTGCATAGATTTCAATGGTATTTAATTATTATTATTATTTAGGTGTTTGCATTATTGCTTTTCTTCCTCACATTTATGATAGTAATAAATAAGAGAGAAATCAATATATCAATTAATTATTAGAAGTGGCAAAATCATTAAAAAACAAACCAGTCAATTTCTTATGGACTTAAGGAGGAGATAACTATGAATTTGAAGAAGCATTCTAATGTGCTGCTGCTCATCCTTCTGTTATGGCTTTAAGTGGTAGAAAATCTGTTTATGCTAAACTCAAAGGTGCTTTTAGCAAATAAAATATCGAATAGTAATCAAATTATATTAACTGTAGATTTGTCACTAATGTATTAAATGGAAGAGAACACTTCAATCAATATTCCAGGCTTCCCAATTTTAAAAAAGTTGATAAATGGGATGGATAGGACCACAAACCAGTTTATAATGATGAATTTTGAAAATTGTGTAATTGAATAATTTATCGTTATCATTGTTAAATTTATTATATTTTTTATGTATTTAATTGAAATAGTATTATTCTTTCAATTTCCTTGATTATTAAAGAAATAATATAATTAATTGTATATTTCTGATGCAGCAAGAGGAAGAACAGTATTCGTGTTTAGAGGAGTTCTTTATTGACAGTTGCAGATTTGGGTAAGCATTTAGTACATAGTTAGAGATTATGAAGATGCAATTGGTTGCTTTGAAGATAATGTAGATTTGTTTTGGATTGACATTAATTAAAATAATTGCATTCGTATATTTATTAGCATTCAAACTAGATATGGTATCGGCTAACGGTCATTTATCTATTCTTGTAGAAATTATCTAGTATTCAAAAAAAACAAATATTGATCTACATAAACTCATTAATCACCAAAATCAATATGGCTGTACTCCTCTACGTAAATATTCTAATTTTATCCAGATTGGGCTGTATTCAATAATTAATTAGCTATTATACCAGTCTTATTATAGAATGGAGCAGATATTTCAATAAAAAACTTAAACGGATTAACATGCATAGATGAAGCTGTCTCGCTTGATAAAACAGAAGTTGTAGTAAGGCATTCTATTATTCTCAGGAATTGCTATCAAAAAATATATCTTTAACCGAAGACTAATAATAGACCTTTAATGAAGCTACTGATATATTAGAATAGGAAGATGAAGATTAAGTTGAATGATTTGTTTATATATTTTTATAGTTAATACAAAATAGACTTACTTTGTAACAAAAATAATACTAAAGCTTTATAATTTTAATTATTTAATAAAAACAAATTAACAATGAGCGTTAAAAAGCAATCATATGCAGGAAGCACAACAGATTATTCAGAAGCTATGTTTCAACCAAATTTTACATAGAGAAACCCAAACCTAAACTAAAATTACCAATTACCTCCCTAATATGCTCAATAATAACCTTTTCAAAACTAAAGGATTTCATTTGGTTAAGGGGATGTATGTCAGCCTCAACAAACCATGCCAAAGCAAAGATCTGATTACAACTATCAACCTCAATATCCAGTAACTGATATCAATAGTACATTTACAATGTTGCCCAAAGTATTTGAAATGGATTAGGATTTCTTACCTTAAGAAATCCTATTTCTGCTATCAGAGGAGAATAATCATCTCGATAGATTTAGAAAAAAAGTAGATAGGGAAAAGGAAAAGATTAAAAGAGATGTTAGCTCTATTAAGTTGGAAATTTCAAATATGATTGAAGATCTTGGAGTTTAGATGTAACAATTTGTAGATGAACATTACAAAAGATATTTGAATGTTTATGCTGCTTTTAAGGATGAAGTTATTCAGTTTAAGAAAACAAAGTTAGAAGCCCCTCTAAATTTAGTACCTCCTCCACCTCCAAATAATTTTGGAGATTGTTCTAATGCGAACTTGATCAAAGAGTTAGAAGAAATGAAATATTAAAATTATGTAAGCAAAGTTAATGCGTACATAAGCAATTTGGCTAGACAAAGAGTTGAATAAATACAAATTGTTTCAAAGGAATTATTATAATTGACAAGTCAGAATAGTGAATTCTACCACTCAGAGGCAACTTTGAGATAACTGAATATTATAAAATAAGAAGTGGAAGAAAGATTAATAACCAAATTTGGTGACATGACTAATTACATCTTACCCTTAGATTTTATGGAACAAAATTAATAGAAATAAATACCTTAGGAAATTAAAAGTTAAAGTAAACTCAATCTGGATACTTAATCTCTTCCTTAATCAGCTATCAAAATAAATCCTTATTTAAATATCTAAGAGCCAAAATTAACTACTCTAAACTTTGAGCAGCAATTGAATTAATTTAACCAGTCCTCATAGACAATATAATAGTCTCCGATCCTATAATTACAAAATCACTTTTTAAATACTCATACGATTTAAGGGAAGGTCACTGAATTATAAGAAATTTAGTCATAAGATATTAGACATAATGGAATGATACTATGTTTCATCAATATTAAAGACAACCTAATTGCCACTGGGTCTAAAGATACTTTCATTAATATTTGGGATAATTCTTCTCTGGTATCTTAATTGAAGGGTCATACAGATGGGGTCTGCACATTAACTACAATCAAAGCCAATAATGTGCCTTTCTTCTTAGCATCTGGAAGTGACAATGGAGATAAATCAATTAAGATATGGAATTTATCAACTTTGAAAGAGCATAACACTTTAGTAGAACATCAAGCAGCTGTAGTTGCATTGTTATCATTGGATGATGGGTCAACTCTTGTGAGTGGATCATATGATAAATCGTTACTAATTTGGAATATCGATAATTAGAAACCAATTTAAAGATTGGCTGTTCATTCAAATGCTGTAACTTGTCTCACCTTAGCAAAAGGAAGATTCATTTCTGGAGGATTAGATCAAAATATCAATGTGTGGAAAATAATGAAAAATGCTTAAGGATAGTTTTAATAAGCCTAATTAGAAAGAACTATAAAAAATCAAACTCTTGTTTGTGCTTTGAATATTGTTTAAATCTAAAATAATGTAAATGATATTATAATTTCATAGATCAAAATCATTAGTGGAGGAAAAGATGGTAAACTAAGAGAGTTTGATGCCAATACTGGCGAACTATTGTCATCATAGTAAGTAACTAATGGTCCCATTGTGGAAATGATTGTTGCATAAGATTATGTGAATTATTCTATTATCTCAATGTCAAATAAAGTAAAAATATTTAAATATTCTCCAATAGGATAGAAATTTGGTGATGACAAGTTAAGGAGTAAATAAGGTTTTGGATACAAATGACCAAGTATTTATTGAGTTCGGATGTGGAGTTTATCCAAAAATGGAAGTTGTTGATAAAGGAGGACAATTATAGTTAAATATTATCTCATAAAAACAGGATATTTAGAAGATATTTAAGTATATCATTTGATTTATAACATATATATATATATATCAAAGATTAATTATTATCTATCTATCTATTCAACATTTTAGTTGTTCTATTAATTGAATAATTTAACTATAAATCTCTTCTATTGATAATTGTTATTCATTCAACTCTTTTACGCATCTTTACTATTAAATGATTTATTGATCTGGATCAACTAGTTCAAGCTATTTATCTTGTGCTTATCTCAATAATTGAATAAATTAAGTTTTATATTGAAATGGAATATTTATATAAACGGACCCATCATTTCTTATAAAGCTTTTTGTATCGTTATTATGTTGTACGCATATTTAGCATTTTTATAAACATAACAGAACATCATTTATTATTTTTTCTAAACTATCCAATTATTGTACTCTTTATTCAAATTTCTTAGGATCAATCATATCTCCAAATTATTAATCTATAATTTGGATTGCCAACTTTTATTTCATCTCTTATATTTTATTTGCATTGTTTAATATTGTTATATAATCAAATTGCAGTTTTTCATCTGATTGCAATTAATATTTTTTATTTAGAATGTTGTAACATACCCCATATGTAATTTATTATTATGCAACTGCTTGTTATGTCCATGGATTCTTCATTAAATGTTTGCTTCTTTAAATTTTGAATTTGTTGTTAATAATTCAAATTAATAAAAATGGACTAAATAGTTTTTATTAATATATAAATGAAATAAGCCTTATTAAAATTAAGAGACAATAAATTACTTGAGGCATTCTCTTACTTTGAATAACATAAGCCCTTTGAAGAAGCAGCTTAAATACTTATAAAATACTCCCTCACTTAAGAGTCAAATATTAAGGAATTGATATATAGATGGATTCTTCGTAATACAAATTCGCCAAATATCAAATTAGATGTATATAACTTATTAGGTAATTCTTCTTTAACACTAAGGTTGTACTTTGACGAACAAAGATCAATAAATAGAGATCTTAAACGAAGCTCTAAAATTGACTGTTGCACATGAGTTAAATCCCTCTACAACCCTAATCAATTTAACTTGCATCTATTCTAAACTCAAACAGCACGAAAAAGCATTACAAATTGCATTACAATCAATTGAGTGTTCAGTTGGTAAACAATTGGTAATTGCATATCATAATGCAGCTATCGAATACAAAGCATTATAATAGAATGAACAAAGCAAAAGATTCCATGACAGAGCATACGAATAGAGCGTTGAACTATTTGGACAATAGGACCCCCTTACTTAAAAGTTGATTAAATATGTAGAAAAATTACCTCCAAAATAAATACCTGTTCAAAATAAATTTAGATTAAGAAGTGCCTCAAGACATGGAGAGGAGACAAAATCCTTTTACTACAGAAGACCAATATCGAGGATTGATTCATTCACACAGTCATTAAATTAGTCTATCAATCAATCAGATGATTGCAATTATAAATCCAATAGTTAAATCAAAGTAAAGAGACAAAAAGCTTTGAATGAATCGTTTTTGACATCAAGTAACGGCTTTAATGAAGAAGAGGAATATGTGATTTCAAAGTAATTGCAAAATGAAATTGAGACTTAAAGTAAAATCAGATAAAGATTTTTGTAATCTATCCATCAATAAAACATCTAACTACTAGAGAGAAAACTTTAAAAAAGAAACAGTTATCATATCAATTTCTCTTAAGAATCTATTGTAAATGTTGAATGTTAGGATTAAAGATCTTAAGATTTTATTCATTTTGAAAATTAATAGCCAGATGGACAATTTGATTCTATGATACCTATAAATTAATAAGAAGATCTAACTTATGATGATCAAGAATTAATTATCAACTAGATTAGGGGGTTTGAATCACAAAAGGAAATTACAGCTGCATCCTTTGCTAATTAAGAAACATTTGAAAATACGTTTGAACAAAAGAATAAATAGGGAAAAGCCATTTGTAAGATACAAAAGTGGTATCGTAAAAAATAAAGGATTCACTCTCTTAAGAGTAATTAAGTCAACCCACAAATTCAATTATAAGCAGCCCTCAAAATATAAAGATCTTATAGAAGGATGGTCTAATAGAGATTGATGCAACTGAGGAAAAATAATAAAAAGTATGTAAAATACTTAACAATATCTAAATTGTCAATAGAAAACGAATTAGAATATTGTTTAATAATTGCTAAGAAATTCTAGAATGTGATCTTGTATGTGATTAATGAGATGAAGAATAAGCGATAGAGGAAAAGAGCAAAAGTATATAAGTAAAGCTTTGAATTAGAATTGTTACATTCTAAGTATCGTTAATTTGATGAATTTTGTTAAACAATCAATATGTCAGCTAGAATGAATTTAATTGCTTATAGATAGGCTCGAGCAATCAATTACAAAGAAATTAGCACCTTATTTTACGTACACAATAATTAACTGAATTTATATGGGGTCACAGATACTTTATCCAATGAATTGATGGAGTCTGATATTGATGAAAAAACTTCAATCTCATCTCGAAGATCACCAATTAAATTAACAAAATTAATGAAACTACAGTCTTTATTGAGGGGGTATTTGGCAAGAAAAAAGTAAGAGTTAATTAAAAATCAGAAATACAAGCATAAGAGATTTATTGAAAAGATATAAGGAGGCTATTTCATCTTAATTTTTAAAGAGGAAAATGTGATTTAATTCTACAATCTTTAACAAAAGCATTTATGTGAAAATGAGATGATAATTCCTGATTCAGTCATTAAATTTTTTGGTCCGATCAACAGATAAAATTGTAGTGAGATATTTTATGCAACTAATAATAAGATATTATTTACAGATGATGCTCAATTTATTATTGATAAAGATATTAAATCAAAGGAGAAGATTGATTAAACTGCATTAGAGAGAGCCGCCAAGAAAATTTAAAGAGTGTTGAGATCTAAGATAAAATTCTTTGATTCCTCAATACTAAAGTATAAAGCAATAACATTAAAAGCAAAATAATGCTAATTATTATTTAAAATAAGAAAATCTATTTTGTTTGAATAAAAATATCATATTATCTTAACTGCCTCTGGATAGATTTATTAAGAACATTAAGAATTGCTTATTGAAGGAGGAATCATATAAAAAAAGTATTCCAATTTTAAAATTGCTTAATGTTGTCAGAGATTATTTTAGGACATATCTATTTCAGATTTCACTCAGGTGACCAAAATAATTTTGGATGAAATTGATTTTGAGTGGAAAAACGAAAAACTTCATTTAAAATGTCATAGTTTAGAAGAAGTTTATGGATTTCTTATGGAGAGGTAATCAATATACTTAACTATATAGAAATTATTCTTCATTTAAGGAAAGTTTGAAAGATGCTGCAAACAAAGAACCCACCTTCTTGGGCAGAAATTACTTAAGCAGAAAAATATATTGTTAGTAATATCTAAAGAACAGATTTGAAATTGAGGATAGACCAACAATATTTTGTACAACGCCAGATCCTTCTGTTTATCAAATTACATACATAAAGAATCTTTATTTAGAGAGAGTAAAGAAAAAATATGAGTAAAAGAAAAAGGAGAAACAAGTTGGAAACAATATCAATCATTATGTTAATAAATTCCCTTCAGTTTTTAATTATGAATGGATTCAAGATCCTGATGAACTATATTTGGAGATGCTTAACAAAAAGGCAAAGTTAGTATAGAGAGGTAACCCTGTATTTGATTATTAGCCTTTAGATTACTAAAGTTCCGAGCCTTAATACATCAGAAGTGTTTGATAAGAAGAAGAAGAAGACAAGCATTGCTTGAATCGCAAAAGGTTGTGGTCAAACAATATTACTTTGATGAGATTAGGAAACCTCAAGCCTACACAACAATTGAAATTATAAAAAGAAGAGGAGAAACTCCCATTCTTTTAAAGTCAATTCACATTGATTCAGTACTTTACGAATGGATACTAGTACTGCCTTATCATGATATTGTGGTGACAGCATACTCTATACCAAGGTAATTTTATCAAATAAAATATAACGAATATACTAATCACTATATGGATATAATTTTATCAGAATCAGTTGAGAAAATTCAATAGTATTTTAGTTATCCAATAGAAAAATTTCATCCATCAGAGAAAGTTGAATTTATTACAGAATTGAGGGAACAATTTAGTAAGAAAGTTATAAGGATTGTAAGATTGAAATTATTCCTTAAAAAAATCAAAGATACTCCAGTGACTAAGAAATTCTTAATTAGGACATTTGTGAATGAGTTTTATGTTTAAATAAATTACTTTTACAATAAGGTTGACTAAAAGATTATTATATTGCTTTAGAAAGAGAAACGCAAAAGAAAGTATCTCCTAGATTTGCATTACTTAGATTGCTTCTTTGGAAATTATCATGGATTAAAATACCTGGATAAGGAGATGTTTATAAAACTCTTAACTTTAAATGAACCTAAAAGTTATCATAAGTATAGAATATTATTAATGCCAATGATCAACGTTCTCCATCTTTACATTATGATAAATGCAGAATTAGACTTACAATATTAATATAAAGATTTTGAGATACCTTTGACAGAAGAGATCAATGAGAAATTTTATACATCTTCCTAAGGATTTTACATGATTACAAATGAATCATAATCTAGGCTTTTACCAACGATCATATCATTGTAAGCAAGATGGCGATTATGTCAACAATAAAAAAAATATTAATTGATGCTATTTAGATGTACGAGAATGAAGATAAAAATGATGAATAAGAAAGGCAAGGAAGTTTAGAAAACATTCTTGAAGAGAAGAGACATCAGTGATGATAAGGAGAGTAATATCATGTACATTTGTAGTATTTATCAATCTAAAGATCATCAAGTAGTAAGAGTCAGAGTGGAACTGAGAGCTTACAAAAGCAAGTAAGAATAAGAATTATTTAATTGTTTTACAATAGAGCCATACTCAATTCTATTAAATGAATAATTAGCTCAATATGTTTTGAAGAATATCTACATAGAAAACAATATTTTACTTTTGAGGTAGAATTATACTTAAAAAATTGAAATTCCATAAGAGTCTTAATAAAAATAATTGAAATTGATTACTAAAAAACCATCATCTCCCAAACTCATCTACCACCAGAAAAGGTAATATTCTTAAGGCAAGCAATTCATATATGATGCAATTCACACTGGAGAAATGCCTCAACAATAGAAGATTTCCTAAGAATCTAGAAATATGATAAAAATTGATATTGATTTGAAGGAGTTAAAATCCTAATATCCAGGAGTTAATTATAAACAAACTAATATCTTATCTTAACTATCAGAATAGCTAATCACAGGATTTAAAGTTGACAAACAGACAATTATTTCAAAACCACTATAGAAGAGAGGAATTAAAATATAAGGAAATTGTCATAATGAAGAAAAAGGAAAGGAATTGAATATTTCTGAAAATGTCAAACAATTAAATACACTTTTATTAAGATTCACTTAATTTTATAATAATCTAAGATATATGATTGTGATTTCATTACTTGACATACCTATTGAGGGTTATGAGAAATTGGATTCTGTGTATGAACCCTATCATTCATATATCAATATTACTGCCTAAAATTAACTAAATAATAATAGAATAATTTG